ATTTAATTTGTACCATGATTTTGAGCCTGTTCAATGCATATCATATAAGCGGCGCTAAATATAGTGAATCAAAGATGGAAATAAATCAGTATTACTGATTATGACATAAAAATTACCGCAATAAATTCAATGAAAGTATTGCAATAGCGAATCAATACCACATAGAAAATGAAAGTCGTGTTTCAAAACCGCGTATACAAAGCTCACCATTTTGTGAGTCGGATATGACAGTTGAGCTGTTAGACACAGTGCCTTGGGGAGGCCACTGAGAGTTGGAATCAGGGAGTTGTGAATGATATAGACCGAAGCCGCGCGAGGAACAGGAGACGGGTGAGAGGCATGGGAGATTGCTAGACGGAGGTGTCATGGCAGCTCCAGTCACACAGCCTCCGTTAGAAAAGGACGGAGCGGAGATTGTCGAACTGGTTTCATCAGGCGAGAAGTGATCTCCATTGATGGGCACTGCGTTCGCCTCGAGGGAAGTGTTGACAGTGTAGACCGGTGATAGTGCAGGCATTGTTGCATATATCTCTTTAAGATTTCGTGACATAATTTCCATTGCATCATCGAGAAATTCATCAGATAGACACTCTCCTACCTCGTTGCGTGGATCACCGAATTTGAGGAAATGTGGGCTTTGATTCAACGAGGTTGCTTAAAAGAAATAAGAGGATAAAGATAGCCCAACTTCAAGATTCTCCCTCGATATTATTGTTTTTTCAACTTACACTTATGGGTACCTGCAACATGACGTTTTAAGTCAGACTTTTTGGTTCCAACAAAGCTGCAATAAGGGTGAGGGCACTTCAGATTCGAAGAGGAACGATGATGATCATTGATATGATTGTCAAGATATTTTTGTGAGCGAAATGCCCTTTCGCAGTCGGGGAAACTGCAGCGATGCCCCTTACTAGGGTCATGAGTATCGTTGTGGTGTGTAAGTAGTAGTTTGGTGCGAAAAGTTTTCGAGCACTTAGAGCAAGTATAAGGTGAAGAAGAGTTGTTCGATAATATTTGAGCATCGTTTTGGTTGATTGATTTTCCATTAACTTGGGAACCGACTGGAAATTTATTAGGAATGGGTTCGGTTAAAAGGTCGGTAATTTTCGAATAGGATCCGCCTGTGAGAGTGCAGAGAGGCACTCTACCTTCATTAACCTGATCTTCACGTGGAGTGCATGGCTTGACGCGAATCGAGGTTCGTTCTTGATTTTCGCGCTTCTTAGATGCCGATTTGTCTGAATTTGCCTGCGGAACGGGGCCACCAAATGGAGTCAAACGGGACTCGGCAGTCGGTCGCTCAAGTAACAGTAGTGTCTTATTACTGTAAGAACTAAAATTGAGCAACTTCACTCTTTTTGGGGATGATCGGAAAAGGGAACCAGATTCCTTAGAAGCACTCCGCTTAGCAGCTAAATAATCGGAGTCCATCTCAGGCTTGTCACAGTTTAGACGAACATACAATGGGTTCAGCACGTATGGCTTGTCGTGAATTATTTGTGAAGCACCACCCTGAAACGTACTAGAATTTGGAGAAGAATGATAGCTTAGACCCAAATCTGAGGAAGTTTGTTCCATAGTAATTCTAGAATAACAAGATCAAATTATCTGTAACCAAAGCAAAAAATAGATCCACAGAGTGATTCTCAGAGCATAAATGATAAATATAGACTATTGCGAGTGAAACCCACCGAGGAACGTCTGGGAAACACAGACTAACATTTCAAATAACAATACTCTACATTAACTTATTTAAACCAAGTGTGAATTTATAAAGGCACTTGATAAAAAGCCTTATAAATAATTTAGACCCATAAAATATTTTTTTAAAACAAAGAAGTAAGTTTTAAAGTATTTTTAGATTTGTCTTTAATTTTATAAAATTGTTTAGGTTAATATTACATAAGACCCCCAGACAACAGAAGCCACCACCACGTCCACTGCGCGACTCCGACACACAACGCTAACCCGGCCTGCACAGGAATGGACGTCTTACCCGAACACGGTACACCTAGACCCCAACGCACGCAGCACCGGTAGACCCAGACCCCCGACCTCGAGACCGCCAGGGACCACCACCCGCTCCGTCTCAGGACCTCATACCCCCAATGTTCAAAGCCCTATTAACTACCCCAGTGCTCGAATAGATGACCTCGATCACCAGCTAACGATAACCAAATAGAGACCCAAAGCCGATCACGTCACGAGAGATTAGAAACAACAAAGACGTAATTTCTATCATGAAAAGCAGCATGTTTCAACATTGACCTTCTCACTGAAGCATCCACCATGAATGGACGTCGAAGCTAAAAAGAAAAAAAGCCAGTCAAAATTCGTATGGTTTGAGCGCAGAGAAGAGCTGATATTCTGACTTGTGATTGCCAAGGGTAAACAAATGAGGTGTGTGCGCTTTGAATGGGCATGGAGAGGACGAGACGATCAAGAAATTAAAACTGTCAGGATAACATCTGTTGATGTCTGTCCACACATTAACCTTATCCAAATGATTCACAAAGACTAGCAAACTAGGATCAAATGAGCAACAATGAGTACAATCCGAGATTGGTTTCAAAAGTAGCTGTGGAGTACTTATAGAGGGAAGGAGGGACCAAAAAATACTCACCCAGTGGCTTATGCCGTATGCTCAGATGGACTGAGCCTTGAGATGAAATTAACAGTGCCGCGAATAATTGATCTGACAAATTGAGGACAGTTAGGATGATCAGCAAGTTGATGAAATGCGATTCGAAGCTCAGAGAACACACGCCTACAATTAAAACTTGTTAATGAGTCATGAGTTATTGAGAGGAATGTAGCGCATAAAAAATGAAAGCAAACAGATGTTAGAGCTTCGTTGAGCTTACCGACAATATGGGTTTCGGCGAGAAGTGTAACGAAGTTTAAGAAAATGGTAGTAGAAGAAAGGGAGAAGCGGAATGCGACCAGAAAAAGCGAGAACAATGGAGATGACCATTAGGAGAATTTCGTGAATAGCAATAATACGCAGTACGTTATCACTGTGGCCCTGAGCCATGGAAATACAATCAAGTATTTTCTTTGTCAAAATGGACGGATTTTCTGACTTTCCGGCATAGAGCTAGATAAATAGTGCAAGTTTGAATAGTGAATTCCGTTAGTTTATTTGTTCAAACAAGCCATGCAGCTGCATGTACACAACCGACATAATGAGGCAGCTTCAGCAAGCTTGGAAAGATACATCACAGTTAGTTACCATGGAGAGGCATTTCACCTACCATTAAAAGGTTTTGAGTGAACCCCAGGCAATGAAGGAAAGCAAAGCAGAATATGGGGGCGAGAGCAACTGAAAAGATCACAATATTTCTCATTAATGCACACTTTTTCTCGAGATAGATTATCAAGTTTAAACTGTATTTAGCTTAAAATGAAAAAGGAGAATATTGATAAATTAACCTGTAACCGGAGGAGTCAGCAGGAAAATGACAGAATATAGAAGATAATGCAGAGAATCCTCGGAGACAATTAACTGCATAGACTCTTGTGAAAGACGTGGCTGATTCCCACGTTGAGCAATGCGCTGGTGCAGCCGGAGAGCAAACGTAGCAGCGTTAGCAATAAGAGCGCGCTGGTACCATGGGTACGTGTTTCCAAATGGCGTGCCCAGGAAAAACAAGAGACAGCTGAGTATGGTGACAAGCCTGGTAATATACATCAATGTGTTGGACCAGTTCGATGAAAGAAAGGCCTGAGGCAGAAAGTTACGGCATATCACATAAAAGCATCCCTTACCCTAATGCTCTGATTAGATTCAGTCGATGCCATCTCGAGCAGACAGACCTACGCTCCACCCTTCAAAAAGAGGGACAACAGACAGATTCATTAAAATAAACAACCAAACAATTAAAAAAAGCCTGACTCAGTTGGTGATTTGAAGCAAAATTTGCAATAAAATTTATGTAAGCAATAAAAATGCCATGAAAGGCTGTAGGAGCTGATAGCCTAATCTCATGCTCTTGAACACGGACTTTGAGAGATGGTTAGTTGCAGTAGATTTATTAGGCTTTGATCATAGAAAGAACGAAGACCGGATTACAGATGACTCAAATAGTAAATATCACTCGAGTTCTGAATTGGTCCCCGCCCCCCTCCTATCTAGGTCAACATAAAAACTAGTATATTTTACGAAAGCTACGTTTGAAATACGCACTAATAGGCTCGAATCGCCTCTATTGGGGAGAGGCGGTAATATAATTTAGACGCAGATCGCGAGGTGGCATCCGCTTATCGTCCTCTCTGTACAAGGTGTTAAATAAACCTTCCCAACCA